AAACGAGAATACGAACACCAGATAGAACCATCATAATTATGTTTTGCTTTAACCGGTCCACAAACCGACTGATGCCGATTGGTATCATAATATATTCTGCGCAGAACAATCAGTTTATTGATTAGTAACTTAATTTCCAGAGTAACTAATTTTTCGTTTTTCCCTTTTCGATATTTTTTTTATAGCACTAAATAAGCTCGTAGCAATCACAAAAAAGGTGTCCCGAAAGTTTGTCAAAATCCCTATTAGGTCAATCAGGGTAACGCGCGGTTATTTTTGTAGAACATTTGCTACCGTCAAACATGTACTTTTGGAATTATACTATGTTTACAAGTAGATAACTTTACACATATGTCGTCCATAGTGTATATTCGCAAGAAATAAAAATATTTCACTGAATGTTACGTTTACCTACGTATTTACGTCCTAAATGCAATATGTTAGCAAGCCTCAACATAGATTACAATCTCTCTCGTCACTGTCCGTGATATTTTTCAGGCCATAAGGATTATTTTGATCTTAGTTGTATTTCTCAGAAGTAAACAGTGACCCGGTTCAATTTCCAATTCTTAGGCAAAATAAACAGCATGACGGCTCGAAATATAATAGATCATAAAAGTACCTTAAAAAGGTTTCATTGGAAATATTATGTACAAAACAAAATCAGCATAACCATTTTTATGTAAGGTTTCGGTGGAGTAAATTGGGTAAAAATTATTATTATTAAATTCAGCGAGTCAATGCTGAAGTAAGATCAGTAAGATCTATAGGCACCTTTACACCAGGAGCGATGCGGGCGGGTTACTTGATTTGACTTGAATTTTATTCATAATTTAAATTGACATCATGTTAAATAAATTTCATATAAAAATATGTAACGGGGTGGACTAGCAGTTACCAACTAATGGGAAACGTGTATGTAGGAAAAGAACACAGGTGTAAACTAAACTTTTAAATACTAAAGAATGCCTAACTACTTATAAATACACCATTGTTACCGTTATCGTGAATCCCACAAAGTGGAAGATCCTGATAAATTAAGCAACCTAGCTACAAATAAGTCCTAATCAACACAGTGGTTGCAGAAATTGGAAGCTGAAGTCTTAGCTTAATATTCCTTACAAAATCTTAATTAGCTTCGGGACTTACGGGTCATTCACTTGCAGAGACTCTTAATACCTCGATGCAGAATTGATTTGTACAGCGCTATCTGTCGATGCCGATGATTTACGTTTTGTTGATTTTATGATTAATTGTGGTTTGTTGTGTTAGAAATAATAAACAAAATTGAATTAGGCGCATTTATGAGTTGTATCAGTAAAGGTCTTAAACGGTCCTGAAACAAATAATCTATCTAGAAATATATTTTTTGTCAAGTTCCTAGTGAATTAATCTTTACTAGGATGGCGTGTAATAGGTACAGCCTTTAATTTAGCCAGAGATAAGTTTTATGCAAGTCATGCTTAAATAAAGTATCCATGTCATTCTTTATCAGATAGCACTCTGTTTTCACTTTCGTACATTATCTTAAAAGAGTCTATTTATATAGGTATTACTAGCGATCCACCCCGGCTTCGCACAGGTGCAATGTTAATACTACTAATGTGGTGTAAGAGTAGAGTAATTAAATATCTTTAAAATGAAGTTGCTTTTTATTCTTGTCTTCCTGCAGTATAATAGGCTTATCATAATTTTAGTGTAATTGATCTAAGTGGCATGCAATGGGGCCTATGTCCAGCAGTGGACTGCGATAGGCTGATGAAGATGATGATGAATGTTTGAACAACATGTTTTTTGCTCCACTGATACCACATAAGTAGTATCTACATCCGGGGCGGATCTCTTGTTAGTATGATAAGACTAGACATCTTTATATAATAGGTCTTTACCTATGAAATTGCCGTTTTGTATGCAGTAGGTGAAAGTACTTATTTTTTCAAACTTTTTTATTTCTGTTATTCGAAGTAATCACCCATGCAATCGACGTATCTTTGCCAACGCATTAGCAGTTTATTGATGCCCTTCTTGTAAAAATCAGCTGGACGGGAGGCAACAAACTCTTGAAAGGCATTTTGTACTGCCTCTCGGGAATTGAATTTTTTACCCACTAAAAAGTTGTCTAAATTTCAGAAAAAGTAATAGTCGGTAGGTGCAAGGTCTGGTGAGTATGGCGGATGAGGGAGAGCTTCCAACCCCAGCTCTTGCAGCTTGGAGACTGTCTGTTGCGCAGTATGGGGTCGCGCGTTGTCGTGAAGGAGCAGTGGGGACGACCGATTGACCAAAGCTGGTTGCAGATGTGCAAGCTTCTCCATCATTCTCTCCAGTTCTTCACAGTACACATCTGCATTAATACTCATGCCGTTTTGTAAAAAGCTGTGGTGAATCACACCCGCACTAGACCACCAAACAGTGACCATCACCTTTTTAGGGGTCATTTTTGGTTTAGGGCATTGCTTTGGTGCTGAACCAGGGTCTAACCAACTTGCTGAGCGCTTTCGATTGTCGAACAGAATCCATTTTTCGTCGCACGTAACAATTCGTTTCAAAATTCCTTCATTTCTTTGCCTGTTGAGCAGCGCAAGGCAGGTCTCGACGCGTACGTCGCGCTGGCGATCTTTAAGGTCGTGGGGCACCCATTTATCAAGCTATTTTACCTTGCCAATTTGTCGCAAATGAATCAATATTGTTTTGATGCTTACATTAAAAGCTGCTGCTAGCTCAGCTGTAGATTGACTTTCGTCAGCTTCCACAATCGCCTTTAATTCATTATTGTTAACCAAAGTCTCCGGACGACCACGAGCTTCATTTTTCAAGTCAAAATTTCCAAAACGGAACCGGGAAAACCAGTAACGGGTTGTGCGTTCGTTTGTACTTCTCTCCGTAAACGTTTTTGATGTTACGTGCCGTTTGTGTCACCTTGGTGCCACGACGGAACTCATATTCCATAATTACACGAATTTTTAAAGTATCCATTATGACGAAAAATGATCAAATGTAATGAAAATACAACGCTAATCAAAAAACAAAAGACTGAGTTTGTAAATAGAATGTCATGGTTTTAAAACAAAATTAATTTGAATTTAGAATACAGAGCCATTACAAGCTTTTTTTTATTTGAAATGACCAGTACTGAAGAAAGGCAATTTCATAGGTAAAGACCTAATATTATGCAATATTTAGAGGCCCGTTCCACTCCTGGCAGTCGCTGCAACCCGGGATGGACGGACGGCCCGACGCGGCGACAGCCGCTTTGCCCCCGCATTTTAAATATCTGATCTCTAAAAATAAATTCATTTTAATGATTTTTTGTAATAGGCTATTTTGTTCTACATTAAATGCACAACGTACCAAACGTATTTATTCGAATAAGAAATAATTATATTGTATTATTTAAAAGAGCTTCGTAAATTACCCCTTATTTTTTGTAATATGTAATAGATAAAAATGGTTAGTATGGGTTATCCTTAGGAGATTGACATATACCACCGCTGACTTCTTTTTAGTTCTTTTTAAGATATACAATTCCATAGCTCATTATTTTCATATGATCATTTGCAAGTAAGCTCACAACAACATGTTTTTTGCTACTTTACATTACATCTTTAATTTTCTCTACTATGATATGCACGTATCGGAGAATCTGAAGTTCAAAATGCCCAAGCATACCCCACAATTTAGGGATAAATCGTTCTCGGTGCAGGCAGTTAGACTGTGGAACAACTTACCCGAGGGAATCCGAAAAGCTAAATCGTTGCAATCATTTAAAAAACAGGTCACAAATTACTACTTGACATTGTAAGGGCTGTTGAAGGGATACTGATTGTTGTTAATGCTTGGTATGTCATAGGTTAGAAAAGATTGGTATTAACGTTTGTAACCTTTGTATGTATTTATTATTTATGTGGATATATGTATGTATTAGTATGTACATTGTGAGCGTATTTAGTATGTTTATTTTTATATATTTTAATACTATAAAGTACACCACAGACTACCCTAAATCATATTTGGCAATATCCGTATAAAGGTTGTCTGTAAGAGATCGCCGTGTGCGACCGCCTATTGTATTACCACATGTAGATGTCCATCCATGTCTGTACAATATAAACTGTAGCGGTGTACAATAAAGATGTATAAATAAATAAATCTTGAATCACTCTTTCTATTAGCGTTTGAAAGATCAACGCGTACAAGAAAAAACGCGACTTCATTTTATACTATGTAACAATATTTTTATAGCAAATCAGGGTCCTGAAAATGGTGAATGATATAAAAATCAATAAGAAATAAAACTAATATAAACGTTAAACTAGTACAAATTTAATTTAGGATCACAATAATAGAATATAGGTTTATTTTTAAATTTACAATATCACCTCTAGTTATTAAAGGAGCAAGGTTTGCATATCCAGAATTCGATTAAGAAATTAAATGCAATTCTAATTCTAATCCCAACAAAAAAAACAACTTTATTAATATTAGGAGAAATTTGTGCATGGTTTATATAAAATCTTTATTACAAACTGAAACTACATATAATATATGTTTTCCATACGTCGTTGTGAATTTCATCTCGTGGATGTATATTACATCGCCGACCTCCTGCACCCAACTATTACAAATGTATACGTCCTACATATACGCAACTAATGTTACAATAATTATTACATCTTACTTATTGCATTCTAAAGACAAAAACATACCATTAAATCCATTTGAATACAGAAACTGAAAAACGAATTATAAAATTAATAATTATTTAACGAACATTAAAATTTCCCATAAATATCTACAACGTTTATGCATCGGGTAATCAAAAACCATCATTGGAAGCTCATGATTTAACAACTTTATTTACAGAAATGTAAGAGACAAGCTGTAGTGTTAACTAACAAGTTTCTTAAGTGTTACAAAATATTGAGATTGGAAATGGACGGAGAGCGGTACGAGGGCGTGTGTGTTCGACCGCAGGGCGACCGCCATCTTTGTCTGCGCTCGCTCTAAGCGCAATTGCACGCGCAGCGCTTAACGCGCTTTTCACTCTTCAGCATAGCATCCACGCTACGAACAGAACGTGGCTGCAAATCTGAAATAAAAACAAAAGTTTAAAGTTTAAAAAAAGAATAGTCGAATTTTACGTGATATTTATATATATTTTTATACTTTGTAAAGTATTTTAACCTACGTACGCTTTAAAGCCACAGACTCAATGTGTTGTTCTAAGTTGTATTAGTAAACAAGTAGGTCGGTATAGTAACTCGTTTCTATTACCTATTTCCAACAAATACTTCGTCACGTAGCAGCGACTTTGTTGACTAATTTGCCACGGAAAATACAATAAACTTAGGAACTGTGAATTTATAATACAATGAGAAGGGCTATCATAAATTCATGATGAAATTTCTCTGATCTTCTTCAAGCGTACGGTACTTGCTTCTAATTAATTAACATAACAAACTTATTACTTGATAATTATACCGCTTGTCTTCCAAAAATAAATAATCACAATTAAAAAATATTTTTAAGAATCTGGAACAATGATACTGTTAAAAACTAACTCAGTTCGTATATTAAGTCTTAGTTACATAATGTATTCATGGATGAAGCTATGACCACTACTCAATAATAACTTTATTATTTTCATCGATTATACTGTCAACTAGGCATACGTTATGTTTAGTTTTAATTCTTTGACGTTTATTCAAACTAAACATGTCAACTATGAACTATGTCAACTATGAACATCATTATATCCACATACATGTCATTTGCTCGTAACCCTGTAAGCGTATTGACGAATCTTGATTCGACACAAAACAACGTTATCACTACTAATCAACTTTATGGATAGACATACTATATGTGGCGTTTCTATACAAAGCTTTATAGATCCTCGTTTATATGATCAAAAAGAACAGCGCCGGTGAGTTTTTACTGCTGGTTGTAAATTTATATTTAAAAGAAAAACTTTGACGATCCGAGACCTAGAAAAAAATAGTACTTCAAAATTGTTTACTGTAATTATTTAGCCTGATTTTTTAATCTCTTAAAACAATAGTAAGTAAAATATATATATTATAATATGTCATGTGGTGTGTTATAATATGTATTAATGCTTTTCAGGAAGCATTGTTCGAGTTAGGAAAATGAACTTAAACAACTTCGCAATTGAAGCTTAAAAGTAATCTAGGTATGTCTTCTGTTACGTGTCCTTTGGGACGCAGGTTTATTGGAAACGTGACAAATTAATTGCGTTATTTTGCGGTAGACACTTTGTCTACTCACTCATATAAGGAAACCTACGTATTTTTTTCAGTAGGAATCTCAATAGATTACAGTATAATTCTAGTAAGTTTCTAAGTACGTGTAATACATATATGTATGTATAGAGATGTTATATAGTAATTGCTTTATTATTGCACAAGCTGACATAAGCTATTTCTGTATTGTTCTTAAGTGTTTCGTACCTCACAATCCCTTTGTTTGATAAAGGTATTTAATTGAATGTAGGTAGACACAACTAATTTATATAAAAATATAATTATTAATTGGGCTTTTAATAATATTTTCATGTTTTTTTCTAAAATATTTAATGATCTACTACATCAACACAATCGATACAAAGGGGCATTCTGTTACAACACAATAGAGCAACAGGTATCCGTGTGGTGACGGATTAAGAATACACAGTGTCACCACTCCTATTCATCGGGTACGTGTCGTAAGAGCCGACTAAGGGAGTAAACTACGCAAAACAACAACACTGCAAAGAGAAGGAAAACTTGAGGCAAACCCTATACCATAACCTCCTTTCTGAGGGGAGGCCTATGTCTAACAGTGGACTAGTAAAGACTGTTGATGATGAGAGCAACAGGCTCGCACCATGAACTTTACTTGCTCAGAAAACAGAATAATATTCTGTACATAGTAATATTCACATTACATATTATTTTGAAATTGGTGGAATAAAATCCAGAAATCATGCATTATTGTGATAACAAAGTTTACTATTGTTAAAGTATTTACTTTTAAAATAATAACGAATATAATTTTAGGGTTCCATACCCTTTTAGTTTCAGTGTCTTGTGTCTGTCTGTTTAAAAGCTGAAGTTTGGCATATATATTAATAACGTAGACAAACTGATCAAATAAAAAGATGATTTTTTTATTTTTCTAGCTTTTTTTATGTTATTTTTGTTTGTATAGCATAAAATATCGTTGGACAGATGATGAGTTGATGAGATCCTATACGAGTCCCTCCGACTTTTCAGTCCCGCCCACAGTTTAGCTTGAAGTTATACTATTAGCTTGAAATATGTGAAAAAATCATGAAGATAATTATAATATAATAATAGATAATAGTTCAAGAGTGATAGTCGCTTAACTTATAAAATATACTAGGAAAGTTTACAAAATTCCGGCTCTTAAAAATCTAACATAAAATTCGCTGCGGTGTTCGCAAAATTTTAACAAGCTTAGAAAATGTTCAAAGTTTAACTTGGAGAAAAAAAACTTCGTGTTCAGAGTCAAATTGTAGCAGATCGATCAGTTTCATTAATGAACAATAAGATTGAATATACCTATGTTTCTTTGTTTACTTGCAATTGTTTTTGGCGAAGCTCTCTATGGAATATGTTAATAATAATTGCAGATGAGATTCATTGAGATACAGCGGATAAAAGAGTGAGTTGCTTATAGAATACTTTTTTTATACTATGTCAGCATACAACACAAAGTTTATTATCACCCATTGTGTATTGTGTACTTCATCGTATATTATGCTTGGTTAGTTGTTGATAAAATAAGAAATGAATAAAGTATACTAACAATGCGGCCTCTCATCGACGGGTAGGTCTTGAGGCAGCAGAAGCGTGCGCTGTGCACGTGGTGCCTGTATCATTTCTGGGCGCATGTCTTCAGGCTGTTGTTGCTGGTGCTGCTCCTCGGCTTGCGCACGCGCCTCTGCTTCAGCATCCGCTTCTGCTGCCGCAGCCAGAGTGTTAACGATTGTCTTTACCTGCGATAATATCAACTATGCTACATTTCTTTACAGATACATTGTCAACAATAAATACTTCAATTCAAATAAAGTAATTACTATAACTACTATTACTAGTAGTTGTTAGTTTCAAAGGTAAGGTAAAATAACTGACTTTGAAGTCCCCATCCCCCCATTATACAAGAAATAACCTCTATTCGTAAAGTTAAAATGCACTTTTAATAAATATTCCAATACTTTTGAAAGTTTACAAGGAACCATTTATGCTATCCACAGATCCGCAGACCTACTTTTGTGCCATTTTTTTTTTAAAAGGTCATAATCAAGATTCAAAATAGAACCAATTTAACTTACGAAGTAACGTTAGTTCAATAAAGGCTTTATAAATAATTCGAAAGACCCATAATATATATAACCATTATAATCCGAACGAAGACTTCAAATAGCAGGCAATTGTGTAAAATTATTTATAAGTTCATTAACGCGAAAATGTATTTATATCTTTGAATTACACTACGTTTCGGTCAAGTTGCAGTGGCCGTCATCACAGGTTGACCATGGCCAGTGCAATATTCTTGATACCCATATAAAAATAATATATCATGGAAGCCGAATGCTTAAAATTTAGTGTAACAGTTAAGGAAATTTTGATGTTAAGTTTCCTATTAAACTAAATAAAAGTAAAAGAAGGAGCGTAAGTATTTATGACGATCAGACCTGCCATCTCGTAAGGGTCTGACAAAAGGTATCCAAAGAGAACGGATAAGACGGAATGAAATGATTAACATTTTGGTTATGGCGGACGTCTTGGTCTGGAGATTTGTTAGTCAACGCAGACATAGAACACTATAAATGTTCATATTTTTCCCTTTGTTTATGGAGGATAATCAATGAAGCAGTTTATTACATTTTATCAGAACTTTTAGAACACCCACAGTGCTTTTATTGAGCTACACCCTCTTATTTAATTAAATTGTTTGTCAATTAAATGAAATGAACGTGTAAGGATTATAAGCTCAAAAGTATCTATTGTTTTGGGTTCTATTAAATACGGAATATTGGTTAATAAAAATGTGTTTGATCTCCCGCGAGACAATACATGTTTTTTTTTATTTTAAACATACCTACCTAAATAGAAGGATATTAAGCGTACTATTAATGAGGATAGCGCCTATTACACGTTCGTGTTAAAAAGGATATGTATCGTGTATATGCCTTGAATCTTATATCATTATGAGCTAGATCAGATGAAATATTATGTCTCGATAGACTGGGAACGCTTTAAAAGCTTCGAAAAATATAGTGTACAACAAGTGGCCACTGGCCACACACGTAACTGTGTGTGTGTGTGTGTGTGTTAGTTTTCTTGGCGCCATGACAGCTATCGAGAGTATAACGTAGCTGTCACGCATAATAAAGTTGGCCCGTTTGTTTTAGCTGTTTTGTAGTGCGACACTCCATCTAGACATTAAAATTATCTAAGCCTAGAATAATAAAACAGTTTCAGTTTAGTCAAGCAATATTATAGAGCTATTTGGCCGCCGTTCTAGCAGAATTTTGGCGATTTATGATTACAGGCATTCAATAAACAAATCTACATATTTTGATTAAAAGGTAGTTTGTATAGTTAGAGCTTGTAGAGTTAGGGCGTGTAGAGATAGAATCTTGGCTCTAAATGAGATCTGATAACGTTTTGATAGTGCGAGCCATATGGTCTCGTCTTGGCCTTAATTTTTAGACAGTTCAAGGAATATTATTACATGTATAAAACAATACAAGCACCTAATTTAACTCAAAACGGGACTTAATATGCTCCCTGAGGCATATGTAGGGTTAAGTATTATAAATATGAACGATACCCTTGTGTGTATAAAGGTGTCAGGTACACATTTAGATATACAGGAGGCTTTTATAGAGATAAATTTCATATGAAGTAAGTATACGAATAAGAGCGAAAGGAATACCTCTCTTAGAATATTGTAAACCGAAAACCCACACACATTTGAGTGTTTGTGTTACATTAAACATAATCACTAAATAAACTGCGACAGAGTGTAATTCATACATATAATCATAAAATTTTAAGTCGCAAATAAAAAACTGATACTATAACATATAACTTACATTACACAGATTTTTACACGAGTAAACCAAAGTTCGACCGGGGAAAAAGGAGTGATAAAAAAAGATTACGTTTTTATAAAACTAAAATATTAAGTAGGTAAAGCATAATGAAATCATTGGGAAAGGCCTATGACCAGCAGTGGACAAGCATAGGCTGAGGTAATAATAAAGCATAATAGAACAAACGTAATTTATTCACAAATAAAAAATACTTGTGGCCGTGAAAAGTATTTATTTATTTAATTAGCATGCGAAAATGTGCGTGGGAGAGTATGGCTTCCCTTTGTCAATTTAAATGAGAACGGTCTACAGTGTAGACTTCGTAGATAGAGTGTATATTAAAATACAAATTGCCTCTCAACAAAAAGGTAAACATATTATTATGAGTGTAGTGTAGACAATAAATCAAGCTATAACTCAATTGACGTGACCCAACAACATTTGTGTTGTATGTCGTTACTATATGAGCACTTTCCAACTTCCTTGTCACTGATAACTGTCAGAGACAGAGAGTCTCTGAGTTTATCATTTACGTGGATCGTACATTACTGGAATTCTCATTAACCTCTAAACTTCTGTCAAAAGAGAATTGCGTTAATGTTATGATATGTGCTATTATTTATCATAGCATACATATTAAATCAAAACTCTGTAATTGATACCGATTTCTAGGTCTTGTTGAATCCGAGTTTTGTTTTATAATGTTCACATAAAATCCTCTTTTCCAAAACCTGATAACAGACAAGATGTCTAGAGATACTATTGTATCTCTTCAATATTATTAAACCTACAAAATAATGAGGCTTAAACCAAAATGTTTTCAACACACGAAAGACACGTTTCGTTTTCCTCTTTATTTAATCGGCATCAAACTGCGCACGTTCATTTACACTAATTAATCAATATCCTCTACAGTTGCTACCGCGTCATCCTCTGTTTTCATACTTTATAACAAGCTATATTGTTATGAATCAGGGTGTCTAAAAGCCTACGTACCTTACTCATAATGTGAATAATGTAGAACACGCAATTCAATTATAAGTCAAAACAAGTTAATTACCATGGTGTCACCTCTTAATTGAATTGAATGAATTACAACATCTTTCATATATGGTTTATTAACCTAAGGACGAGACGAGACTTAATACAACGACCTTCGATACGTGTTGTGACATGTATTATTCGAGTGATTTTTTATAATAATTATTATTGAAAACAATACAATGAATGCATTGCAGGGTCAGTAATAAGAATAATGGATGTGTTAAAAGAATGACAAAAGAAAAATGCCAAGAACGTCTCAATATTTAATAAATAATATATTTAATTAATATTGATAAGGTTAAGAATTTTAGGTATAAAGCATAAGAGGGGATGTACTACGGCAAGTTTTAAAGATTTGTACACTGGTTTCCAATCTGATTTGATCTCGTATTCTGGAAACCTACAAGTATATTATAACTACAAGTATATTTTAACTCAAGTATATTATACATATATTTTTATTATATTTTGACGACCGAATGGCGTAGTGGTTTGTGTAACGGACTACTATTCCAAAGGTCGCGGGTTTGATTCCCGCTCAGGTCAAGCATTTGTGTGCATGAACATGTAATGTTTGATTTGGTCTGGGTGTTTCTATGTATAATAAGTATGTATTTATGAAAAAAAAGTATAAATGTATTTATATCAGTTGTCTAGTACCCATAGTACAAGCTCTGCTTAGTTTGGGACTGGATGTCGTTGTGTGAATGTGGTACAATATTTTTTTTATTTATTTATTTACATACCTTACATAAATAGATTACTTTTTACATGCAATTATTTATTTTTATAAAAATTGTATTTAGAATAACTTGCTAAGAATCCGTAACAAAATTGTAAATGTTACTTTTTGTTCCATAATCTTTTTTAAATTATACTATTTAAAATTTACTCTTGAATAACTCACGTACGGAATATAAGCATGTGCTTAGGGCAGCGCGTTATTCAGAACCAGGGTGCAATTAAGAGATGTCTTTGGTTTAATGAAGATAAGAGAATAACTTTTATAGGTTATATATTCATTACTATACGCAGCTTAGTAATAGCAGTAGTTATAATAAGTGGCTGGTATTTACCTCCTGCATGTCATTGTCGATCTGTTGTTCACGGCGTTGGTTGGCGGCCACATCTGCTGCGGTGCGGTGGATAGCGTGAAGTTCTTCGGGACTCAGACCCCAGGGCAAGTTCATCTGTACTGGAGTGCCATCCATAGGAATTTTCTGCATCTGAATAGTCTAAAACAATGTCGGGGGAAATATTTATTTATTTATATGGTTAATAGATGTGAATTATAAAGAAATCGGCCAAATATTGGCTTCGTGATCATTTCGCAAGCCGAACCAACCTATCTTTTTTGGATATCGATGTATCAAAAAATTTTATATTTTGCAAAACTTCCTAATGTTACATTTTTTATAACATTTTGTTATTAAATATGAATTAATTAATTATAGTAAGCATTTCCAGTAAAATTGCCGATTTTGCCCTAGCACACTTAATTTATAACTGCTGTACATAAATAAGTATAGCTACCTCAGGCTGCTCAAGTTCCTGTGTGGGGGCAGACTGCGGAACAAACTGATGAAGGACCGTTTGCTGCTGAAATAAGATAAACATGAAGTTTAATCATAATATATGTTGAAACATTGAAACAGCTTTCCTTTTAGATTTTCTAGAAGTCTCCTCGAAGAGGCTTCATTTATTTTGTGCTTCAATGTTTTCTTTCTAAACATAAACCGAAAATAATTAACGTTGACGTGTCTATTTTGCAGAGTAGCTAAAATTTTAAAGTTAACAATGCATGCAAAATGATGGTATTTGCTTCCTATTTCTTTGCGCTGTGGTTTACGTCTATTATTGAGTCCACATTGACCAATCTGATAATTTACTTGTGGGTTCTTTGACCTTAAAATAAAACGCTTCAGCGCTCTTAGTATAAAGTTTTTGCTATCACATTATTAAATATAACTAACTTTTTAATGTATTCCGTTCGTTTACACGTCGTAGTGACGCCTAAAACCAACCAGATTTTGAAATAAATTAAAAGGTATGCCACCTTTCCCGACCTTTCACAAAAGATTTATTTCAAAAGCTTGTATATTTATTCATAAAAATTGTCTTTCATTTCATTCGTGGTATGTACATATACTCATAATATGAGTGAGGCTTGAGATAAACTTTGTTCCTATCTATACGAGTAAATAGACTGTTCTATCATTTGGAAATATATGCTTTTGTACAGATTAGAAAATAGACTTGGTTTTATCACGATAGTATACTGGAACAATACATTTCAAAACTGTTCCATTGCTGGTCGTGAAAGATAGGACAATATTAAAAAACCGTCGGACCTAATGCGGGCTGGTCGAATTAACAAACCTTCATGAACTTTACTGGTGACTGTCAAGAATGCAGTTTTTAACATATTATATTCATCTAGCTTTAAAGCAATTTATATTAATTTCTAATAAGTGAGTTAACTTTTGATTATGAGAAACTACTCTCGACCACCTATAGTTATATTGTAACACTTGGCTGTCACAGCACAAAGTTTAAGAGATTCATACCTCTGTTATTTGTCCTTTTTATTTCAGCTGGCATAGCTTAATATAATATATCTTGACTTGTAAATGTTGAGTTGTATTGACAAGACTAGTTATCGAAGCACGTCCGCCCACAATAGTATTACAGATATATTAAACTTCCGTATAATAATAAAGCCAATTTACCCTCGTTACCAAACTTGTAAATTGCTTACTAACGGAATGTTTTTTCTGTCATCTCTTAAAGTTTTTCTACGTACATCAGGCCACTTGATCAAGCTATTGTGTTACTCGAAGCCAATCTACCAATGCGCTCCGGATCATGCATTAATGAGAAGTTTATCATAAAAAAAATCGTTCTCTAACCGTACCTCGTACTCGTACATATTATGTCAAGCGTACTATTTTAAGTAAGAAATGTACTCGATGGAAGAAATAGTTGGTTTCTTCCTTTATTCATTCGTTTTACGTTTAAATTACTAGTTAATTGGCGATATTACTGGTTTAAAGTAAACTACATGGGTTTATAGACTGCTCATTGGTCATCGATCGAAAAAAGACCGCTTATTATCCGAATACATGAGAAAAATAGATAGGTATGTATATCATCGAATCAAATCAGGATGGATGTAGTGGCGGCAGGTAGCAGCAACAATTTGTGATTCCAACTTCCCTATCAAATTAAAGGGACACAGATATAAAACGATCATCAGAGAGATCACTACATTTATCTGAGTTTTGGTTCACGACGAAAATATATGACAAGGTGAGGAATGAATAAATTAGGGGAAGCCTGAAAGTAGCACCAGAGCATGAAAAGTTGAGAAGCAATATGTTATCCTGGTATTGGCATGTAATATGCTAGTTGACTCAATTTGAAAACTTGGTTAATTACATACTTTAATATCTATTTTATCCGAAAAAAAACTATATTTTTAAGAAAAAACAATATTTACATTACGTATTTTGTATTAAAAAAACAATTTAAATTTCCCTTGAAAACGCTGAATAGTGTCATGGCGTCTAGAATGATGTCACAGTCTGAGAAACAAAACTGTTTACATCTGTGTCCAGTGTCAACTGAAACTGTATTAAGGTGAGAAAACATGCTAAAAACGAAAAACAATATGGAGTAACCTGCTCTGTTGTATGAAAACGTCAACAACAACAATTGATTGGTGTTCACTGTCACGTGACTTATTGCCTATTTTGTTCGAATTGGTTTGTTAAAAATATTAATAATATTTAACTTTTATGAGAAATAGACTGGTTTTTTCTTATCTACGAGTATATATCTTCATTTATAATTTGAAACTATAAACCAAGCAATTTGTTATTAGTTGACACAAGCCTATTCGCAATCGATTCGCAGTCTAGAAACCAATTACTTACTAATTAAAAATAAACGATTATAAAAACAATATGAATGAAAAGACCTTTCAAGTGGCTAATAATATTATGTAAGAGAAACCCGCGGAAATTAAAACACATCTAGGAGTTGGGTCACCCAAATGCTGCAAGTTTCGATGATCCGATTTTCAAAAGTCCGAATTATATAATACCTAAGAATTATAATATAATTTATCTTCAGTTATTTATCTTAGAAGAATCAAATGCTGGATGAGTACGATGGGTAAAAACGTCGACTTTGCTACTGTCACTGTGTTTATTTTTTGTGTTTTCTTCTTCTCCTTATACCTGCGTCGCGTATTATCTACTGTTTCTTTGGGTTAGGTTAGAACAGTGGTGATTAACACCAGATATTCTCCATTAGTGTGGTTTTAGTCGGTCCAATTCCGACACAACACCCCACCTCAAACCCGGTGGGGTGACGGCCCGAGGGGGTTTCCACACGTAAAAAAAAAAATTTGTACTGTGACCATTAAAGCGCGAAGGCGAGCGCCAGATCCGCTCTATTGTTGGTGACTGGTGAATTTTAGATGTTTCGAATTATCATTAAGTCTGACTTTTTGTTATTCGATCTATTGAAACTCGGTATTTTGAGCATAGTAATTATACTCGTAAACCTTAGAACTATAGAAAATTTGAATTATAAAAATAGGATAAAAGATTATTTAGAGTTGTTATATTCGGAATTATGAAAATCGGTATTTTGTAATTCGTATTTGTGACTGAAGGGAAATTTTCTCGTATTAGTAGTTAAATTACCTTGATGACTACGTACGGTTCCATCTTACAATCGCAGATCGTACATATTTAGACTATGACTATAAATGGATTTTAATAGCTCCAGCAAATATAAGACGACATAAAATGCCTATCCATTCGCATACTGCTTATTATTAAGTAGAAGAAAAAAGTAATACAGGTATTTACTATTAAATTGTTATATTAAATACTGATATTAGAATGAACACACCGCAAAGATAATAAGTACACAGAACATATACGAGTAATATGTATTTATCTTCTATAGTCTATGGAAGTAGATCGCACCGGGCGGATTAGTGTGAGACCGTAAAAAATGCATTAAGTACCACGTTCACCTTTAAAGATATTAAGTAAACCAGGTCATGTGTCTGTACTGCATTAAATTACCCGTAATAGTTATATCGTACGTGCTTCAACAGATAACTTCCATAATAATTCGAAATCAAGTTAAATGAATACTTTATTTATTATCTCACTCTTACAAAGAAAAAAATCTTAGTTTAGTGCCCCAAACCACTCAAAAGTTTTTTGTCACTTATGAACTTTACTTCACTTATGAATTATGAACAAGTACCTCGTTCTGCTCTGGATTCTGTTGAGGTGGTGGTGGAGGCTGGAAGGGGCTCATGTTCTCTGGTGGTGGGGGCATATTGTGAGGGGCGGGGATTGCAATCACTCGCTGAACATGAATGCGCATTTCACGGGGACCTCCCATTTGTTCCTCCGAAGAATCCCATGGCATCTGCATGAATAAAAGTTTATACAAATAATGTTATCATATTACTAATTACACTTATTAGTAATTTAGAAGAAATCATTCATTTCAAGACATTCTGGTATAGTAGACGGCAATTCGTTGGCTGCAAATAATAATAATAATAAGAGCCTCGACCAACATCTTCAGAGGCTCGCGTTAGGCAGTTGGATTAAGGGTCTCATGCAGAAAGCAGTTCTTCTCGATACGGCACGTATTGTGAGGAAGTTTCTGTCTCTGGAGTCCTAACCACCGATATCTTGGTCTCTGTACCCGATACCGATGGGATACTATTTTTTATATTTTTAAATGTTTTTTTTTTTGTTTTTGTATATAAATATATTTAAAAATTTAATTTATATGTATAAAGAATGAAATAAAGATAATAATAATAATATATCTCACACATCTCACACACGGCCAAATGATACAGTACAGCTTATTATCGAAACCACAGCAATGGCGGGTAATCATATTTGAGATAGATTGTTACGCTTGCTGACTCTACTTATAAAGCCCTACTTATTATGGAAATCTATGTCATTATAAATTAATTATCTTTAACATGTCTTAATTAAATATCAATTAACCTAATAAATTCTGATAGTGAAGGTGTAAGTAAATAAGGTCTGAGTATTTATAAATAAAAAATTCAACTTAGTAACTGTATATTTTCTGGATGAATAAACTTATTGCACACTTATTAAAAAAAGACACCAAAAACATGAAACTATTAATTTTTTTATTCATCCAGTATTAAAAGGCACAACCAGGGATGTGCCGGATCGTTAACAAAGTATATCCGCGGATACGGATCCGAATACGGATATTTGGTGTCAAGATCCGCGGATACGGATACGGATCTTAAGTTTCTTACTCAATCGGAGCCCGTGACCTTGATAGTTGTCGCCACTTGACGCTTTGCCGTTGACGCGTGCCAGACAGGTCAGTACGTGTTTCGTAAAGATGAAAATGTTATAAAGATTCAACTTGTGGTTGTCCCATTATAGAAGTGATGTTAAAAGTTTCTATAATATTTAAATATTTCATTATTTTAATAAGCTAATACAAAGATGTTTGATTGATCTCATTATAAAGATAGCTCTTTCCGTACCTACGACCTGCCTAGTTGATTTAGTGTAGTACGATAAATGATTGCAATACCTTTGTGCCAAATATTTGTTTTAAGAAATAAAAAGTAATCTGAACAGAATTCAATAGTGTTTCATAGCTACCTAATAACATTATTCAGGGTTATTTTAAATTTACTGAAAACCTCTGAAGTGCATATTAGTAACATTATAAACAACAACTTTTCTTCTGGACTAACACCGAAAACGAAAGAAAAAAAAATGTTTCTCCATACAAACTAACAACATTTGATTGGTAATTTGAATGGAGGACCAATTTTTTTTCATTTTAACGTTGGCCAGAAAAAAAGTTGCTGTTTATAGTGTTACAAAGTTTGTGTTTTCACTGTAAAACTATTAGGTATGTGTTTGTATAACAAACATTACAAACACATACCTAATAGTTTTACAGTGAATACAAAATCACCTATATAGAATTTCATCTATGTATTGAAAGATCCGTGAAGGATCCGCCAAAAAAGTCACGGATACGGATACGGTTACGGATCTCTCTTCTCCCTTGGATATCCGCGGATACGGATACGGATACGGATATCCGGCACATCTCTAGGCACAACTACCTACTTTAAATACTTTTCGTCTTTAATATTTTATTTTCAATCATACAAAAGGTAAATTTGCAACTTGAGTATTCAGAGGAATTTCATCAAAACACCCTCGATGAGTTCTCACTTCACAGGGTAGGGCAATCTGATATACCAGCAACTCAGTATTATAAATAAGCCACCTAATAAATTCACCCAGAGCCGTACGATAAATGCATTACAAATGTTATTTAAACAACTAACAAACAAAGAATAATGGAGACAGAATCTTGTTGTTATGAATAATGTATGCAAGAATCATTGGGCAAACGCAGCGGGCACGTCACATGCGCATGAGTGAGATAAATATTGCCGCAGGCGATCAGGAAGCAATGACCGCTAACACCCGAGGACGCGCGTGAACGCACTTCTCTGACACGGCCAATGGTTTGCAAAATGAAGCCGACGAACTCGGCAATTCGGAATACTGATCTTGCTGGTTTCCAAAGAATAAACCAATTAGCATATTTGCGCAAAGAAATTGCCTATTTTTCATTTTTTATAATTGTTTTTAGTCCTGATTGTCGCAGAAGTGTTCAACTCTCATGATAAATGACAAATTATTTCAAAAACACCATTAACTTGATATTCCTATTCTTCTTTGTAAATGTATAAAAGTTGTGACTTTGCTCCTTTTTACTTGCCGTTTTTTTATTATTACGAGAGCTAGGCCATCATTCAGTTACGCGGTACGTCCGTGTACGGTGTATGATGGTCGGGTAATCCTTTAATGGATACTTTATTTGAAATAATGAACGTTAAAATATTATGTTTTATAAAATATTAAATGATAGAATAAAAAAACCCTGTGCCCTAGGAAAAAATATTTCAAAGAATATTGAAATTGTGTCTGCAAACTTGGATGGAACTATCCAAAAAAAAAAAACTATTTTACAATACATCTAAAGGAAAACTGCAACAAAAACGTATTAGACAACAAAGATTCGCGCAATAAATTAGGATAACATGTATTAATATTCTACTGATGTTGCGGTTGACGCGGAAAGAAACAAAAACACGGAAGCTATGATGAGAACATATTGTCCATTCATCCTTGGACTGCTCATCTTTACTGTATAACGTACAATGTGGAGAAGAATAATTATACTGCCCGGAGTAACTCATTGACAGATAATATCCACAGCCCTCCAACTACAATTATATTTGACTTAATCAACACCATTAGTTTCAGTGACGGACTAGTTTTAAAGTATTTCTAATGGAGTTGAACAGAGGTTGTTGAATAGATAATTAAGACCTTTTTCTTAAAATATTTTTGATTTTTATTAGTACGGCAAGTATAAAAGACAGCTTTTAAGAATGTATTCAAATTAATAAAGAACTTACTTTTTAATTGTATTAACACTGTCTGGTTTCAATGGTCCGACGTACGACAGCACCGGGCATATTTAGACCGATTAAGAATTTATAACTGAGGTATAAAACTAGATAAAACTATTTTTTATCTAGTATTTCTAATATTTCGTCTTACCTTCCCTTATAATTCTTATTCCTGTTTTCCTAGAATTAACTTTTACAGTTTCCGAAAACAGTGAAAGCATCCCGGTCATTTCTTAGAAACATCTGACAAGTTTACACCAGGTAAACCTTACTAATTTTATTTTTAATTAATAATAACTAAGAAAGAAAAGTGGTAGTTTTCTAAATTAAGAAAAATAGATTTCCATTTTTCAAATGAAGGCTATGTACATTGTTAAATATGTAGTTTGTTTACAACAAGCTACCTTTCGTTAAAAAAATCATTAAAATCAAATCATTCCGAAAATAAAACATGAAGTTTAAACCACAGTGTTACTGTTTAATTTTCAGGTATTTAACTGAACTGTTAAACTGAAAGCTTAGTAGATCAAGTCGTCTTTTTACGCATTTCAAAATATGTAGAACAAGAACATAGTTAAGTTTCATATTAAGCACCTGCACACTATCGGGTTGTAATATCTACAATAACATATTATAAAAACAATAACAAAGTATTTTGCGTATACGAATGTGTATAAGCAGTATACACTTTATACACATTTACTTAATCGACTTGCATTAAAGATAAAGCAGATCAGACATAACAATCAAGGAATTTATTTATTCTTCATAACTGGAATATGCGAGCTTGCGATAATAAAGAATAATCGCAACCTTCTGAATGTGGCGAATCTCTCAGTGTCAGATACGTTACTGCACTAAAACTTTACTCTTCTCTAGCATTGCCCTTACTGTGCCCTAATTGATACATACTTTAGCGATTAATAGTTTATAGCTCTTATGTAACCTATATCATAGTCAAAAACGTGGTTCGGCTTATGAAGCAATTTCCTTTAAATATCTAATTATTAAGAAAGCTGTCAACGTGTACATAACAATTTGTAACGTCTATTTAGTTTTTAGAGACCTATTTATAAATAAAAAATCCCCTTTAGCTAATATTGTATATAAGATAAGTTTTGCTTTATTAAGATTACTGAACTTTAGATTTAGGTAGGTACTACTAGGTTAGCCCTGTTCTAATCATTGTCTCAAAGGTTTAGTAACGCGTAAACCATGTAATGGCACAAGGAATGACTTACTAAACTATTTCGCGCTTTCGCTTTCCTATTATACAAGAGGTTCTTCACAGTTACTTCGCATTGTGCATCCACTATGTTACGCTTAAAATAATCGTGAAGTCACAAACATGATTTGATGAATACAGATAATCAATAAAAACGATTCTTGTTTTTCTGCATCTTTACAAGATCAGGTTTGAAAAACGAATTGTATAATATATTCTTCTTACAATTTGTTTTTCTATGCCATTTGAGGAAGCAACTATTTTTAATATGTTATGTAGAAATACATCGTTAATTAAATAATCACCTCAACCGGGTCTATATTCACGGTTCCTACAAATTAATCATTTCGTTACACGAGTTTCGTACATTATTAGTTAGCTATCAAAATTGGAAAAAAATGTAAACCATCGATAGTATTGCTACTATCACAATAAAAGAGTTGATTTATGTAGTAATTAGGAACATTTTTTAATATTTACTAAGTTATTTAAATACAATGTTTACGGCTTAGTACATGCTCCCTTAGATTCAGTTTAAGTACAATTATTTACGTGCTAAACCAGTAAATATAAAACGCTAAATATAAGACGCTTATAAAATTCAGCATAAATAAAAAATTTAGCAAAGCTAAGTTTAACTATTTTTACTAAGGACTAAGCCAATCGTACCCTTCAATAACATATCAA